AAATTTCGACAATTTTTACAAAAATTATTTTAAAATTATTATTTTATGGAGTTTTACAGAGAAAATGCATAATTTTTAATATTTTTGTAAATTTTGTCTGATTTTTGATAAATCAGGCAATGCATTTAAGTTGTCATTTTCACTGTCAAAATGACAGCTATCAAAAAGATCCGGCTGGTGAAACTTAGTTTAAGGACAGGCCTACAAAGTTATCATAGTGACTTTCTAAAACTATTCTTTCCTGTCATATAAAAATAACTGTACGAATATTGATTAATTTGTCTGATTATTCGTAATTTCGGACACCATGCTTTGAGAGCTGATAACTTTTGATACACTCTTGCTAGAGCTACAATTATTTTTACGCAAATAAAGCACAACTATTACTATAATATCCTGCAGTTTCATGAGATGGCTAAGTATAGTTTTCCTAAAACATGCGTCCGAAAATGGTTCGTGGCCGATTATTAATAGTTTACTCTAGTATGTTACAGCCAGAAGTACTTATAAACATGGCGTAACATGAAAGTTAAAAAAATTCAATTTTTATGCTACAAGTACGTTTACAGGTACATAATGTATTGCAGTGTGAATCAGTGTTAATTATAATTAATGGAGGTTTTTATAGTTGCAAAATATGAAATACAAATACTGACACTGTGTACAATTTACTAACTACATGTACATGTAGTTAGTATTGATGTACATGTATATCAGAAAATGCTAAGAAAAACGTTGTGCTTAGATAACAAATAACTTAAAATAAAGTGTTTAGAATGGAATGTGTTTTACTTGATATGCTTGTTCTCATGCTTGCTCCATGTTTCTTCAATATAGCATTGTCTACTCCTTCAGATTCAAATATCTCACATATGGCCAGTAGACAGGCATTAGGATCATCACTCTCTTTTATCTTGTCATCGAGTTTAAAACCCACTTCACTGCCTCTTTGGACACCTTGTTTGGTCTTAATGGCTTCAAGCTCTTGCCCTGTAATCAAATCCTCAGCATACAAAGCAGTAGTGACTACAGTAAAAGGCGGATCCTTCCCAAGTGTGCTTATAAGCTTTGGTAGTGTCTTTTTAAAGACTTCTTTTGCACTTCTACCTACAGTGCAGTGCTAATGAATTGATACACTTCATAAAGAGACTCACCTCCTTCAGCCATAGTGCTAGTATCAGCAAATGGGTGGTTTAGTCTATCTATTACCCACTTCCTTATTAGGAGTTACTATGAATGTAATAAATATTATTTTATAGCATGTACTCTACAATATAATTTTGGTATTCGTAAATCATAATTTTCATTATTA